ACTGACTCACAGAGTTTTAGGCCCAGATACCTACATCTCCCAAATCCCACCTGGAACATCCAGCTGTATCACACATGGAGCATCTCAAATGGTGGAAAAGGGCACATGTAACACAATTCTAGATACTGTAATTCCTACCCAGATTATTTTAATATGTCCTTTCTGTGATCCCTGGGCTTTTAAACTCTCAACAAGTGTTCAGTGTGAGATCTATGACCAAAAAAAAAACCAAACAAAAACAAAACCAACCAAACAAAAAAAGGACAAAACCCCCCAAACAAACAAAGAAACAACAACAAAAACTAACAAAGAAAACAAAAAAAATTCAGTTATATTCTACTTTAATTTATACAATGACACCAAAAAATGTGTTTTTTTGAGAAAGGAAGGGCTGGGCAGCCAGTCTGTCAGATGGTTTAAAACTGGCTGGAAGGCCAGGCTCAGGGAATGGCTGACATGCAGCCAGTGAAGAACAGTGTGTGTGAGATGATGACACAGGGTGCACCCTGAGCACATTTATGGATGCCAGATTAAGGAGTCCTGACATGAGGACTGGCAGAACTTAATCCAGAGAGATCTTGATAAATTTCAGGACTAGGCCAAGAAACAGCTCAGGCTTGATGGAAAACCCCAGGCATGAGGACAGGGGGAAACTGGCTGAGCATCAGCCCAGCAGAAGGACCAAGGAATCAGGCCATTGCTGGGCTGAGCACAAGCCCATTTAGGCCAACTGTGCATTCTCACTGCAAATAATGCAAACTGCACCCTGGACTCCATCAAGAGGTGTGGCAAGAAAAGTATTAAATATCATTAAAACAGAGAAATGAGGAGCAAAAAAATTATTACAGAGGCTGAAAAATTCTATTTTAAGTCAAAGTTCATCCGCTCTGCAAGGAAAGAAGAGAAGAAGCTGTTCATAAAAATGGGTGTAGTCTAGCTGGGAAATTAGAAGGTAGCAATCCTTGCCAGAGCAGTGAGTTTCTGGAATACTCTTCTGCCTTCAGCATCAGGATAAAACAGTCAAGCCAGTTGCAACATGGAGTTTAATAGCTTATAAAAAGACTGATGTAGTAACATGGCACATGACAGCAAGTGGTCATGTAGGACATCTCATCCAGTCCTACATTCCTGAATTCCACGTGCAAGAAGAGTGATAAAAAATTAAATAAGGTGAAGAATAATTTCTGAAACATAATAATGAGGGAGAAAAAAAAAGGAAAGAAACTTATAGGTGTTGGCAAACAAAGTCCTGGGGCTTATGAAGAGGGAAGCATTCTTCCTTGAAAACTTCATGACTTCCTTGTGGAAGATCAGAGCATTGTCTCAACGTGCCCTGATGTCACAACCTTTAATACCCCTCATTTCACAGCACAATTCCACTGTGACAGCTGCTGAAAGCATTATGCCTCCAGCAAAATAACAACAGGATGTTTTATCTACTGTATGCCACGAGATGTCAAGTAACAGATGATCCAATGCAAGGCCTTTCTACCACTTGGCCATATCATCATAAGCAGAGACAATTTGAAGCAGAGTGCATGGGCAAATATGTGACTTTAAAACAACAAATTTATTTGTGTGCAACACTTTGTGTTTTAGGTCCTAGGGGTTTTTCAAAACCTCTAATGGTCTTTAATTTCTCACATTGTTAGGTCTGATTAATGGTATTTGGACTGCTCATAGTGATGGTGTTCTTATTTATTAGAAGTCATTGAGAAGTTAGTTGAGCTCTGCATTCGTAGTTTCATGTTTAAAATAACAATTTTAAATCTTCCTTTTGTTACATTAATCTATTAAAAATCTTACTAAAATCAAGAGTAAAAGGAAGACAATGGAAGAGGTGGCAAAGGCAACCAAACAGATCTGTTCCCAAAGAGATGGGACAGATGGGACTTCCTTCAGGGATGGGACCCCTCAGGTAGGTGTGCTGCTCTACAGAGACCTCAATGAAGCTGTTTCACCACTGCTGGGCTTCAGTTCAGGCCCCATCAGCCACACATCAGAGCCCAGAGCAGGAGTGTATCAAGTTAAACTGCTCTAGAGCAAGACAAAAGGGAAATTACTGTCTGGAGTTCAGCCTCTTCCTTTTCATGGGCCATTTTCATCATAGGTCTTAAGTCACTACATCACTTTGAAGTTTATTTGAGAGGGAAAATAATCACAAAATCATGTGACTGAAGTTGCAAGAGGGTACGACAGCAATATAAGCATAATCCTGGGCACAGGCAGCTGGATGGAGCACCACTGAAATAATTACTGCCCATCATGCCGTGCCAATTCACAGGACAAGACATACCAGCACATTTTTTATAGCTTTTATCTTTATTTCTGCCAGAGGCTTTGCCTGCCAGGGAAGGGATATGGCTGTGTCGCAGCTGACACAGGAGGTTACACAAGGAAGCTTTGTCTTGGACTTGAGGAAGTCAGATAATCTGGTTTTATTTGAGTAAATTCTCAGCCCATGTGTCCTTTCAGATCACATTGCTACAGCAGTCTTAAAATGGGTCAAATAAAACTCCCACACAAAATGATGCACCCACACAATTGCATTAACCCATAATAAGCACCATTTACAAACTGAATTACCATAAAAATGTATAATGTATTTACAGGTCTTCAAACTGACATTAAATACCATTTTATAAAATCAACCACTACTTAAAGACAATTAACTGTGTACCTTAGACCCACTGAGAAATTGGGTCAGTTACCATAAAGGATATTAGACTTGTACTACTACCAGTTACCCCATTAGTGCCCCTGACAGCTCGAAATGCTTAACCCCACAGAAAACTTACATGCCAGCCTGATATCAAAGGATGAAATTTATCTTGTTTTTCTGCTTTCAAAACCTAGGAAACTGCACTTTAAAAGCCTGTGGAAAAGATGTGGTATTTAGAACTCAAGATACACACACGAAAGTTCACAGAAAAGCTGTTATTCAGTCCTGATGGCAATGCTGGGGGAGCAGGAGGATAAATTGTGTGATAATACACAATCTACTGCTCTCTCTGCCTTCCTGGGCTGGCCCCTGTGAGCACAGCATGAATCACAGCCCAAAGCCCTGCTGGCTCAGACACTGCCATGCTTGCCACTGCAGGACGAGGTGCCAATGGTGCCAAGGCTGTGTTTGCTGCACATGCCTCAGCACTTCCTAAGAAACAGTAAAGCAGCTTCTTGTTCACTGAGAGATCAGTGCCAACACCAAACTGAAACCTCTGCCTAGGAGGGTACCTGATGCTGTGCTGCTTTCCTTGACCCAGGATAACTCCAGGCTCTGCCCCTGAACGTCCTGCCGGGTACAAACCATTATCCTGAATCTGGCAGGGAACCCAGCACCCTGCTATGGGTAGTGCAGCACTAGATAGATAATATTTCAAGAGGTAACAAGCTAAAACTCCAGGTTGGGAAAGTCATGGAGCACTGGTTTTGGTGTGAGAAAAAGTTGCACCTTTCTTAAAACAATTATAAAGCAGATTCAAAGAAATGAACCCTTGCCTGTGTCTGGCTCTTATTTCAATACTCTCATGACTGGGTGGGTGAATCCAGGGTGTCCCCCTGGTCAATTTTGTAGCACACTCCAACTCTTCTCAACAACTTCATAGTCAACATCTCCTCCTTTGAAATAGGGACCTGCAACTTACAGGAAAGAAACATCTGCAGACAGTTATCTGTGCAATGCAACAACTTGAGGGATATAAAGCATTCCAGAGAAATCAAGTATGCCCTTTCCAGCTCCAGAAATCCCCAAGGAATGAGCCTTTTTATATTTGCCATATCACACTGAAAATCACTACCCAAGCTAAACAAAATTTAGGTTAAAAGAATAATTATAAAGCACTTTATTCCAACAGAGGGACAAGTAGCTGGCAGGACAAAAGCTCTTACAGTGGGCTGGCACTTTGTCTTAATCTCCAGAGCGTCTGATGCCTCCTCAGTTAAGAGCCAGAGGGACAAATCTGCAGGTGATAGGGCTGGAGCCAAACTGACTATGCAAATCCTCACATTCCAGATACACCTCACAGAACAGGCTCCCTTCTCAAGTCACACTTAGATAAAAGCACAGAAGTCACAGCAGCTCGGACTAGATGGCCATGCAGCTCAGTGCCCTAACACTGACAGTGTTCAAAAACAGAATACCTCAAGGAGAGCACAGGAACAGAGTGTAAGAACCTTCCTCAGCTTCCATCAGCCTGCAGTGTGGCTCTCCTGAGAAAGGCAGCACCAAATCCCACCATCACTTTAGGGAGACAGAGCCATCCTTTTGAAGGACAGCCAGTCCAGCCACCTGAACTGGTGGAGTTTGTGCCACCTCACAGAACCAGGCGAACTCTGTTACAGCTACTGCTTGAAGACAACCAGCTGTACAAAGTGTTCTGATTTACCTCTCCAAAAACAGCTCTAAAAGGAGTTGGTTACTTTCCTGCACAATTAGAAGATGAGAACATCACTAGTCTTCCCTGCCTAATTAGGTTTTTTTACACTATCTCATGGATTTTACCCGATAGATAAGCATGTACCAAAGACTTACCAATACTGGTGCCTACCTTGAACAGCTGGATATAATTAATGGGGAGCAAAGGTTACCAGTGATAATTACACGTGGATTATATGACTAAACTACTGCAATTCCTTTACAGCTATTTTTAAACCTTTTGCTTTAATTAACTTTCTATTCTTTCCAATGTAGTAATTTATCTCAGTGTCTTAGTTACAATGTATTCCTTTTTCTGTACAAACTAACAGATAAATAGTTACTTGTGGATAAGTAATTCCCCCCCAGCTACATACTGAACTCCCATACTGAGACAGAAATTCTGGATATTTTTGTGCTACACAAATTGCCTCAACTCTGATTTTGCTGTTCTAAAATATCAGCTCACTGCATACAAAAGGTCTGTCTTAAATCAGATTTGAGTACAAATTGTTTGATGGTACCAAAAAAATGCATGATTAGGTATGGCAGAAAAAAAAACCCCACAATGTACTAATATATAATTTATTCACACAGAAACTCTTTGCCTCAAAATACTTCCACACCGACAGAAGTCATAGCACCCAAGAGCTGCAGACACTCTGCATTTTGGATATCAGTAACATGAACAAAATAAAAGACTCCATGATGCCATATTTGGATTTAATAGTAAAAAATACCATTTTCACTGAAGGGTAGTTAAGCATTGGAATAGGCTGCCCAGGGAAGCGGTGGAATCACCATTCAGGAGCTGTTCAAAAGACCTGGAGATGTGGCATTTGGTGGCAGGGTTTAGTGGTGGCATAGACACTGCAGATTTGATGTTTGGACTTCGTGATCTTCGAGATCTTTTCCGGCCTGAAGGATTCTGTGATTCTATATCGAGGAAATATAGAGCACCTCGGCAACAACTGCTCTGCTCTCACAGAGAAATCAGGTTGTAAACAATGTCTTTGAAAGGCAGAATGTTGTAAAGAAAACGTTTTCATTCAAAAACGTAGGAGAAAGAGATCAGCAGAATCTGCTCAGCACTCCTGCAACTCCTGTACTTCAATTTCAGAGAGGCGCTAAACCGAACCGTTTATGCTGCGCTTGAAAGCCCCTTGAATCTTCCGGAGTTTAGGCAATTGATTAATTTTTTCACATTTAAATAACAACGAGCCGAATCGCTAGGGAACACGAGCGTATGCGCTGCGGGCTCCTGCGCGCCCAGCGCCGCCATGGCTGAGGCAGCCAGCCCCGGGAAAGCCATGGAGGAGACGCTCGGCCCCCGTCAGAGGCGGCGCCGCGCCCGGGCTCTCCGCCTCGCCCGAGCTGCTCTGGGCGGGCACGGCTGGCAGCTCCCCAGAGAGCCGCGCCTTTGGCTCAAAGCGTTTTAAGGCGGCATTAGCGGCAGGGAGCGGCGCTGGGGGGAACACGGGCCGCCAAGGGGGCTTGGGGCTGTGAGGGAAGCAGACGTGGTGCTCCGGAAAGCGCCGCGCCGGGGCCGACCCACCTCGGGCAGGAAGCCCTGCCTCCAGCCCCGCCGCGGCTCGGCGGCCCGCTCGCTGCCCTCCTCCCGTTTCTGCCCCGGAGTGTCAGGGCGGACTGTGAGGGACAGTGAGTTGGGGCTGAGAGAGGAGCTTCTCTACAGTGAAGCGCCGCCATCTTGTAGTACGGACGAAGAGCTGTGGCGGGCGCCATTTTGCACTTGGCCGAGAGATGAGAAGCGCCTTATTGCATTTCCCCTCCTGGGCGCCGCCATTTTAGGTTACGGCATCGCCTCCGCCTTCCCAAGCGCAATCTCATTGGGCGCCGCCATTTTGGCTTACGAACAAGACGGCGACCCGCAGGGGTCCTCACCCCCTCCCTTCCTCCCTTTAGGTGCCTTCATAAAATGCCCGTCGAGAATCCCCTCTTTTTTCGCTCCGCTCCCAAGATGGCGTCGATGCGGGAGAGCGACACCGGCCTGTGGCTGCACAACAAACTGGGCTCCACGGACGAGCTGTGGGCGCCGCCGAGCATCGCCTCGCTGCTCACGGCCTCGGTCATCGACAACATCCGTCTCTGTTTCCACGGCCTTTCCTCGGCCGTCAAGCTCAAGCTGCTCCTGGGGATGCTGCACCTGCCCCGCCGGGCGGTGGATGAGGTGAGAGCCGGCTGGGAGTCGCAGCCAAGCGGGGCGCGCGTGTGTGTGAGGGGGAGAGGTCGGAGATGGCGTGAGGGGAGAAAGGGGGGCAGTGCCAGCACCACCTCCCCCGCCCGCCTGCCCTTTTATTTTCCACACGGGGGCTGCGGGGAGGGGGGACCCGCGGGGCGAAGCCGAGCGGCCGCAGCCCCTCAGGGCAGGGGCGTGTGGAAGGGCTGGTCCGCACAGCCCTCCCCCTCACAGCCTTCCTCGGACAGGCAGGAGTAAGTGAAGAAGGTCTCCCGGCTCGTCCTCGGTGTGAGGAAAAGCGCCGAGATTCCCCGCGATAAGGGAGCGAGTGGAGCGGGAGCTCTGCTGCTGCTCCTCCTCTTCCTGCTCTTCGGGGATTCCCTGGTTGGCAGTAGCCTTTTGAAAGCAGTTTGGACGTGAAACCCATTGTGTGGCCCACGGGGACTCATTGTAGGGCTGTGTTTTGGGTGCCTTTTAGAGAAGAGGGCTTTTCTGAGGCGGTGGTTGTGCGACGGCCAGGGGAGAGGCAGGATTGCTTAGGAGCGGCCGTGTGTGTGTGTTCAGCTTCCTCCGCTCCTCCCTTAGTGCTGGCAGCTGTGTAGGTGTCACAAGTCGAGCATCTCGGCTTTAGGGAGGACAGCAGCAAGTGCTGAAACTTTGGGAGTGGAAGATCTGGGGTCTGCATTGAGCAGTGCTTTTCCCCACCCTCCTGCAGTCAGGTCTTGACTGGGGAAAATTGCCACGCTTTTTGTTTGTCACTCTTTACCTTTCTGGGAACAGCTGGTCCTTTCCTCTGTTGTCCTACCCCAGCTAATAAACTCGAGTCTGAGCTGGCTCTGCAGGCTTTTTCACTCGGCCCTGGCCCATACCTGGCTTATTTTACCGGTAGGCAGCTGGAGATGTTTGGGGCAATAGCTGGAGAATGGCTGGAAATATTAGGTTTCTTCAGCCAGACTGGAGGAATTCCTCTCCCACTTCCATTATGTACAGTAGCATTTCCTGGTAACGATTGTGGAAGTGGTGTGGAGTTAGTTTTCACCTTCCTGTGTAGAGTATCCTCAGCTGTGCTTTCACCAGTCTTTCTTGGCCAAGACAGCTGCTTCTTAAGCTTAATATACATATATACCAGGCAGGGTATGGTATGTAACTTGGATTGTTGTGTGCTCAACTTTTGTGCACTTCTAGGCTGAAAATGGGCAAGCATCTTCTTTAAGAAATAATTTAGTGTGTGTCTTGCCATATGCTATTTAATGTTTGTCTTGCCATGTGCATCTGTATGAATCTTCACTGTGTTACACTGGTGTCACTTAAAAAAAAATCTAGTTCAGCTTGTTTATGCTGATTTTTAAAACATTATATTCATGTTTAGTGCCTGTCCAGTGAACAAGCTGTCATCCTTGTGTGTGATAAATGTTCTGGACAAACAAAACAATCTAGGCCAGAAAGGGGGATGGGAGCTCGTGTGAACTTGTGAGTTTGCAAAATTCTTGTGACCTTAGTGTGAAAATCCAAGTAGCCTGGAATAAATTAGTATTGCAGTGTTTAGAAAAATCAGTGGTTGTTTTCAATTGAAAAGAGCTTCAAAGAGCTTAAGGACCTTCACAAATAGCACTCACAGCAACTCTTTGAGGGAGCAGCATTCAGACGAACTGAAATAATTTCTTGAAATGCTTCAAGTGTGTACACTGAGTTTTAAATGTTTTAAACCAAACCCGAGGAGGAGCTGCCAGCAGCTTTCCTGGATCTGTGCTTGTGTTAGCTGTGCAGATAAACTGTATGTAGAGAAAAGCCATTGACTGTGTACTTAAAGTGATCAGTTGTGTTCCAAATGTAAAACTCTTGTTACTTCTGTAACAAAATGCTGTGGGATTTTTCAGTTTGGTAGAGTTCATGAATTCAAAAAGCTTAATCTCTTATTGTAAACTGATGATGCTTGATTGAGATCTACCATTAGCAAATTTAATTATTTCAGGATTTTTTTTTCCCCTTAAAATGGGAGAAGGGCCTTAAAAAAAAGGTCAAAAATAGAAAAACTCCTGAGGCAGAAACCCTTAACATTGCTAGTAGGCCTACTAAATTCATTACAGATTGGTAAAAATAGCTGATGTAACCAAACTGCTGACAGAAAGAGCTGTTGTCTTATCAGATGCTCATCATTTGTGGTTAGTTTGCTATGATACTTCTATTTGTGCGGATTTGTCACCTAACTTACTATCAAAAATTCGATGTTTTAATTGGCATAGAGCCCCTTGCACACAATATCCAGAAAATAGATAAATATGTCTGTGTGCAGAATGGCTGTGCACATCTCTGCAGCAGCCTCTGCTTGTGTGTTGGGGAGCACTGGAAATGGTGCCTTCCTGCCAGCTCTAGCTGCCTGGAAGTGAATTTCTCACTTGGAAATCACCCCCATGTCTGAAAATTATTAAACCTAACTATGAGAGTGCTTAATGATTCTCCTTGGCAAGTCATTTGTCTTTCCCATGCCATGTGCCTGTCTGCATCGATGGTGTGCGAGAAGCACCGAGCTGGCATTTGGAAGCTTCATTGTATTGGAAAATGTATTACATCAGCTTTGTAAAGCTTTGGGAATCTCAATAGCAGCTGCAGGATATGTTACACGTTAAAAGATATTTTCCTCTCTAGGTAACAGAGTCAACTGAGTTATTTTCTCTTCAAAATAATTATTTTTCTGTTTTCTGTATAGTAGCATTTTCATGAAAGCTTAGAATAACACAGAAACCATTTGGGAGCAGACATTTGAGTAAAAAGCAATGTGGGAATCAAGGAAACTGGTGGTATTTGGTTTAGAAGGGATTTAATTGCTCCTGGTCCTTTCTAAATCTCTGTGAAAGCTTCAGTCTACACAAGTGAATCTTCAGTGAGCCCTCTTGAAGGCTCAGCCCTTCACTTGAGTGAATTTATCCTCATATGTAATATCTTTCAATTTTCATAATGTTTTCATTCAACACTCCAAATACTATATAGATATAAGTGACTTAATCCTCATAATACTCTTGTGGGACAGGTAATAAAACTAATTTTTTATCATACTGTGAACCTCATTACTGCATGTTTGTTCCTGCTGACTACTAAGAATAATTGGCTTTCATTTTCATTTTAAATTGTGTCTTGTAGGCAGTTATCAAAAATTCCTTTCCCACTGTAATTCTCTGGGAAGAACTTACAAATCTTGAATCTTAAGGCTTTCCATTTGCTAATTTTTTTCTAGATAATTGCACTTATTTGAAATGGTGCCTAAAGCTCAGCGTAGTGCTGACCAGAGTTTCAGTTGTGAATTTGGCAGAACTGTTATTTCTGTTTATTTTGCATATTATATTCTTGTTAACCTGATTCACAATGGCAAGTGCAAGCTTTCTTTTTGTGCCAGTGTTTATTTGTTCAGGGTTAGGCTGTGATGTTACAGCCAAGTCTGGAACAAGGTCTGTGCTTCTGTGCTCTCTGAACTGTCTTGAGAGGGGGATCCCTCTCCCAGCAGGGACCTGCCTGTTCATAGAGTAGAAATCCAAACTGTTTCTTTGTGCTGGTTTATGTGCACCAGGAGCCATCTCTGCAGGGAAGTGGGGATTGTGGAGTGTGGGTGCAAAGGAGAAAGAGGGGACATGACACTTGCATTTCCCTCTGTAGTGAGAGCACACAGACTGCTGCTGTGCACCTTTCTGGCCTGCACTGAGAGTTCATCATTATTCTGTGGTGTAAAATGGTATATTTTAATCCAATAGTTCTCTTGGCCACTTCAGCTCTTTTTCATGATTAAAGTGCAAGCCACGTACAATAGTGGTATTGACCCATCCTGGGTCTGTATTGTGTAAATATTAATACTGTGTTTTCAATCCAATGCTTTTAGTTTAATGAAAATATTCTATAATGATAATGCAGCTACCTATTAAATACCATTTTTTCCTATAACCTCAGAAAGATTAAAGATTCATTTGGTTTATTAGCCAACTGTTGATACAGTTGTCTGAAAGTATTATCATACACGTTAATTTAAGCACAATAGAAAGCAAATAACTGTGAAATATTTGCAAGTAGTCACCTTGGAGTTGTCACCTTGTGTGTTACTTGTAACACTTCCTTTTAAATACCTTCCCACAGTCCTGTTTGTCCTTCCTGCACAGCCATTATTAATCTGCTTGTGTTCCCAGACTTTTCCCATCCTGCCTGATCCCTGCTTGCTCGATGTTTCCAGTCATGGCCTGTGCTTTTTCTTGTGTGCTAGCATGCTGATAAAAATACTTAAGATCCTTAAGTTTTAGATGAGAAAGACACTGGCACATGTTACATCACATCTTGACATTCATGCTTAACAAGACGCTGGTTGGAGCTGATGGGAGTCTTAATGACCCAGTGTTGCAATCATAGGCAATTAAGAATTAGGGATTATGGCTGTGCCCTGTAAAGTAACAGGAAAACTGCATGTAGCATTCCCTGATGAGTTGCATTTCATGCATTCTCAAACCATAAATGTTTCTTTTCAGCTGCCAGTTGAACAGTGAGGTGGGAAAATGTATTTAAATTGCCATTTGAAGACAAATCTGAGTCAAAACTTGAATCCAGGCTTGTTAAATGCAAAGCCATATTCAGGCAAGGTCTCTGGTTGGCTCACAGCCTTTGTTAGTGTGCTTTGCTTCCTCATGTGTGATGGTGACTGTTATTTCACCGTGTTCTTTCTGTCATGAGGCCTTGTGATAATGTTATTTGCCCCGTGCAAGGCAAACAGATTGTTTCTGGGCTCCTTTCTTGAAGGAAGCAAAAGCTTGTTAAGCAGTGGGTTTTGGCATAAATAGGCTGCCTGAACTTTAAGCCTGAGAGCAGAGAGGATGCAACATGCCCAGACCACAGTTCTACAGGAACTTTCACAGTATAGGCATGTAGCTCTGTGAATTTTTGGTACAAATAGGAGTTTTGTGAAGTAGCTATGAAGGGTAAATTGTGAGAGGATGCGAGAGACATTTTTCCCCTGACTCTGCTTTGATGAAGGAAATTACATTCTGTACACTTACCTGCATTAGTGGAATCCACAGAAAAGCTTGTAAAAGCTATGAATTCATCAGCTCTTCTGGGATATTTCATGTGTTTTGTGTAAATCAGTACCTTGATTCCTTTAGGCTAGATGAAAGAGCAAAAGACTTTGCTTTGATAGTGTTTACAGTCATCCTCATCCACTGCAGAAGTGACTTTTGTTAAGGAGTTTAGGGTTAGAATAGAGATGTAGCTGAGTGTGTGAAAGTTCTGGTGGGGTTTATGTGTGCAGGGGGGTTAATTTTACTGAGGAGTAAATGAGCAATGGAGAACCAGCAAAGACTAGAACCTCAGAAATTGGTTCTTTCCACTGGGTAAGAGCTGGTTAAATGTTTAATGTGTGGTTTGACAGCACATTAAACAGTGTGTGCTCCTGGTTAGGTGCTCAGTTTAATCCAAAGCAAATCAATGGCACTGCTAAGATGGGAACTGGCCCATGTAGTGTCTTCTTCCTGCTCCCCTTTGTGGTTCTGGTGTTTGTGTGACTGCAGTCAGTCACTCTAAGGAGCTGGTTGAGCTTAAAGCTCCAGAGGTGCTCATTTTGGGTCAGATGGACTGATGCAGTTTGGTTCACAAGCACATCATGTGTGAGCCCTAAAACATGCAGGGGGTAAAGGACAAACTGGCTCTGGAGTGGACTTGTAAACCCTTCCAAAGTGAGAGGGCAATAACATTGTGCAGATGAAAGGACTTGAGAAATGTCAATGTTTGTTTGCCTCTGAGCTTTAAAAGTGGATGGGAGAGGAATGGGGAGCAGAAATTTAACTTTTATTTCTTTTATTTGGAGTTGTATGCATAGAGTAAGTTTGTTTTATTAAACCTTTTCATAGAAGAGTGCTTTAAATAAAGGGAAAGAAACAGCATGAAGGTGAAGATGGGTGTCTTGCTGTGTTCAGAAACATGACTGTAACTAAGCTATATGTGCCACAATGGGTGGTGAAAAAGCAAAATTCATGTATTTGCTTCTACTTGCTTGTACATTCTTCAGTGTTAATACAATGCAGATAGAGTAAACACAACTACTACAATAAACTGCTTTATGTGATTTTACTGTTGTGTTTTGTGGCCTGTTAGACACACAGAATAACTCAAACATCTTAGTTCACTGAAGCTAGTGCTGTCACACTTACGTGAAAATGTACTTAGAAAAAAAGAAAATTCAGTCTTTGGGAGTTTATCCTTACTGGTGAACGAAGTAAACCCCTGATAGTAGTAACCTTGATTTTCACGTTATAGTGCCAACAGATATGTTGGTCAGTAATTTAAAAAATACTGTTACGACTTAAAATTTACTGAATATATTTTTTTGCATTTTTCGAAATAGAAAAATAACTTTTTTTCTGACTATAGAAACATTGGGTAGATAGAAAATCTTGGTGCTCATGGCATGTTAAGAGGGCTATGTTTACTTCCCATAATACATAATTTTTGTAAAATAATACAGTATTGATTAGGTTATTTTGGCCTCAACTTAAGTAGTATTTTGAGGACAGTTATGGTGCAGATACAATCTGTCTGTGTAATTATGCTGTAGGCTGGCAAGGGGCACATCTTCATTTAGATGCCTGTTCTAAATAACTTGCATTGTATTTGCATATTCCAATCACTGAATAGAAGGGGTGGGTCCACAGGGAGGGAGTGTGAATGTAAAACAGGAGGAGAGACAGTAATGTAAAAATTTGGCTGCTGCTTTTGAAAATGCCCAGTCCTAAACCAAGTTTTGAGCTGCCAAAAGCTCAAAACAAACTTGGGTTAGATTGGCTGAAAGCAGTTTAAAAAAATACCTTGGTTCATTCTCTGCTTGGTTCTAGAGTTAATGTATAACTGTGTGGAAACAGTCTCCCTCTTCCCTCCCCCAGTAGTAAAACATTGTGCATGTTTGTATCTTTTTAAAATAAATCCGACTATAACCTGTTTTAAACTGTTTCCAATTGGTTGATTTTCTTTTTCTTTTTTTGTTAGATGAAAGGGGCACTGACTGAAATTATCCAGCTCGCTACCTTGGATTCAGACCCCTGGGTCTTAATGGTAGCTGATATTTTAAAATCCTTTCCAGATACTGGCTCCCTTAACCTTGATCTTGAAGAACAGAATCCCAATGTTCAAGATATTTTAGGAGAGCTTAGAGAGAAAGGTAAGCCATCTCTGTTGGTGAAAATTGCAGGAATGTGGTGCCTTTTTTTAGGAATAACCTGTCATTTCACAGGCAGCCTTGCTGTCTTAAAGTAGAGATACAAGAACAAGCACTGTCTTGTCTCTGAACTACCACAGTTCATGACCTGGAATGTTACTGGACTGGGAACTGTGGTATTTGAGGAATGGTAGCTTCTTAAATTATCTTTTCACATATCATCACAATTTAATGTCAGTTATTGCCCGGAGTGTGAAGGGCAGCACAAAAGTTGTGTGGATGCATTAATATCACAGCCTGTGCTGCAGCTTAGTCAGTAAAGGCTTTTTCTGTGTTGCTCTGTCTCCCATTTGTGGTCCCAAGACAACACCAAGTCTGTCTTGTGTGGAAGCACCACCTCTGTCCTGGGCAGGGGCTGCCTGTGCTGGAAGTGTCTGGAGGGAGGCTGATCTCAGGAAGAGTTGTGCTGCTGATGGCCAAGCAGCCACAGATTGCCCAGCAGCTGAAAATGTGGGGTCAGGCACTTGCACAGTTGCTGCTTCAAAGAGTAAATGGTGATGCAAAGCTACTCCTACTCCAGTGGGTTTATTTTAGCACATTGTCTAGAAAAAGCCCTCGGGCATCCATGGACAAACACAATCTCGGGGCTGGAGATTGCAGCAGAACAATAATTAAATGACTTGGAGGTGGAAATGCTTTGTTTTCTTCCTACAAACAATCATTTGTCTATCCACATTTGTGATTTGGATTTTCTTTCAACAGTTTGGTTTTCATGTGTAATTTTTAAGGAACCTGAGAATTCTTTTTTTTTTTTTTTGACAATAGCAGCATATTTAAGATACCTATAATTTGACTAAGTATAATTAAAATGGAAGCTTTTATGAAGCTAATGGGAAAAACAAACATACTAATAACTGGTTATACATTGTGTAATTATTGGAACTAAATTACTCTTGGTGTTTATACAAGTAATCTAAAATTTAAAACCACCTGTACAGTCTAGTTGAAAAATGTTTTGTCATTAGCTGTCAAAGAGGTGCTAATACCCCTGTGTACTGTGTTAACTCTTTATGCAGTAAGTGAATGTGAAACTTCAGCTATGTTGCCGTTGGAATGCCAATACTTAAACAAAAATGCCTTGACAACACTAGCTGGGCCACTTACTCCCCCAGTGAAACATTTCCAGCTGAAAAGGAAACCTAAAAGTGCCACTCTCAGAGCTGAACTCTTGCAGAAGTGTAAGTAGTATTAAGATTGTGTACAAATTAAATGGTGAAGGGACAATTTATGCTCAGTATATTCAGTCTTATTCTCCAGAATTGTGATACACATGAAAATGTTCTATTACAAGAGCTTTCCTGGATGAGGATGTGGAAAAGCAGGTGCAAGTCATTCCAGCCAGGATTGCATTAAAATGCTGATATTGACTGAAATGCTGTTCTCATTTCAAGGCACACAAAGAGCTGTAGCTTCCTAAAGCATAGATTGGTCCTCTCCTGGGTATATGTAACAGCCAGCTGGGAAGACCTCTGAGGATACCTTTGGTTAAAGCTCCTGAAGCAAAAGTAAAATGAGGACAGTTTTATTTTGCCATGTGCTTTTGGAGCAGAGAGCAAGGGCTGCTAATTAATGCTTTCTTTCACTCAGTGTGGCTGTATAGGGTGTAAAAACCAAGAGTTTTCTCTTAACAAAAGGCAACACGTGTACATGTATGTATTGGTTGCTGAATCTTAAAATAGTTTGCTGCAGCTGCTGTTCTGTTGTAGCAGCTTGCTGCTTTCTTGCATGTAACTTGAGTTGGTCTGGTGAAATACAAATTTTGTAACTTTCCATAATGTGTCATATAACTTTTAAAAATTATTTCAATTTCTACTGAGTAAATTGCCTTTTCTGGTAATTTCTTTTAGCTTAGGCCACCTTATCCATTGCAGAGTCATCCTGATTTCACATTTTCTCCAAATACTGTGTTTACTTCACATAAACGACCTGGGTTTTAATTAAAATACAGTCCTTTCTTTGTTGGTATTGCTATCTCTATGTATTACTTAATAACATTACATGTAAGAAGCATTGTGTTATATATTTTCAGCACAGGTTCTGCAATAACTAAAGGCATTTTTCCTTTTAGCAACAGAAACTGCGCAGCAGCTCAAGAAGACTGCAGGAGTGCCTTTCCATGCCAAAGGCAGGGGACTGGTCAAGAAGATAGATACAACAAGTATGGCTCACTTTCATCAGTTCTCAGAAAGAAAACCTGATAAAGTAGCCTTGATGAAGAATAGAATTGCCATCTGTTTTTTACAAAAGCTTAAATATTTTTTGAAGCAAAGGATTTCTCCCTTTCTGCCTTCCTCTCTCCTGATACTTAAGTATTTCTGACATGTCTTGTCAGATAGAACAACAGTGTGTGGGGTTTTTCAAATGGCAAGTATATCTGCCATGCTTCTAAAGTGTATGCAGCTAGATCATTCCTATAGACTTGATAGGAATTTAATTTGCATCACTCCAGGAATAACTCCTGACTAAGCCATGTTGCTCCAAAAGAGAGCAGAGTGGATCACAGTAGTCTGCTGTGCTCTTTGAAACGCTGTGAAGTAGACTGAAACTGTCTTGTATTTGTATAATTCTGTCTGGAGAAAGAAGAGGGGACGGTGTGTTCTCTGCAGCCAAGGCTGAGCAGTGAATTCTACATGGCAAACCTGTGGAATGATCCTTCAGCTTTGTATCAATGCATTTCAGCTGTTTGCTGAAGTTCCTGAACTGTCTGAATCTTTCAAATAAAGTGTGAGAAGAGGGTTTAAAATTAGTTACATACTCTTAAGTCACTGCACAGGAATAAGATTCCTGGCCACCAGTGATGCTGATGTGTGAACCTTTGAGTGATTTCTTAGTGTTGTGGCTGGAAGTACTATGAAATACTTTGAAGTACTTTGTGTCAATGCTATTTAAGACATGGCTTTGAGTGCTGAAGTTTGGGCTCGTGTTCAAGCAGGAAATGCAAAAGGTCTACTTGTAATTTGAACTAAAAACTTTCCATTTTAGAAAAGGACTGTTAGTTCTTGGCATTCTGTGTTGCTGTTGAATTACTAAAGCCAGTTCTTAGAACCTGGCCTTTAGAGCTAGTTGGCCTCTAGAAAAGGAGTTGGGGACCTGCTGAGGTTTGCTCTGCTGAAAGATACTTACTGTCCTATGGTGCAAACATTTTCAGTACAACATTTAGAAGAATACAGAGTCTGTAAGCTCAAACAGAAGTTCTCTGTTCATCTTCGACTTACAGAGCATGATGAGATTGTCAGGAAGCTCAAAGACCTGATAGATGTGTATATGAATCCCATATCTTTTAATAGTTAAGATTACTGTGTTTAGTGGTAGCATTAAGTGTGAGGTAGAGGGGCAGTTTTATAGAGTTGGGAGGAAACAGATGCTTACAGGTGTAGCTGATGCTGCTGAGCATTGAGACAGCAGCTGTTCTGTTTGCACTACAGATCCAAGCTGGTCCTCCTTGTGCAAACAACAGCTCTAGATTTTCACACCCCTGTGTCAGGCAGTAACTTACCTCTGCAGTACATCATGAGCCCTTAGCCCTGCAGAAGCTGGGCTAAGATTTTTGGTTACATACCATTTTATCAAGTAATTTGATTGTGAAAATCAAAGAGCAACTTTGTCAATAATTGGATTCAAAAGATTTATATCCTATACTGTTTTACATGTTCAGAGTTTGTTTTGCAAGCAAGGCAAGCTTCTGTTTGTATATGAAAAGCAGACTTTGTTAGCAGTGCACCTGTTTGATTACTTCATATAGAATGGGATTGCAAGCATTGGTCAGAGTTTGGCCCTTATTCCCTTTTTGAAAAGTAAAACCTAATCTGACCTTTGAGAGACATGTAGTGTTATAGCAAACTCCACATTATAATATTAATGTTTATTATAAACTTTTTAATTTAAAGGCAAGTAGTACGTGCATTTAGAAGGGGAGGAGCTGAAGAACTCATTACAGCATTTTCCATAACCAGTTAAACACATATTTCAGTTGTTGCTTTTTTTGCTCTTCCCTAAGCACCACTCAAAGGGATACCAAAACAAGCTCCCTTCAGGAGTACTTCAGCTCCCAGTGTTTTTAGTCCTTCTGGAAACAGAACTCCTATTCCTCCTTCCAGAACACCTTTGCGCAAAGAAAGAGGAGTAAAGGTAGGTACACTCCTTGTTTTTCTGCTCAGGTCTCTTCTTTCACCTAAAGTGAATTTCTGCTGCTGCTTTGAATCAATATATTAAAGGGAAAAAAAAAAACCTGAGGATGATATTTAGGGAAACTACGTGCATTTAACAATGATTATTAAGTTCTCTGTGGTCTTTCTTTTTAGCTTTTAGATATCTCTGAGCTGGATATGGTAGGTGCTGGCCGTGAAGCAAAGAGAAGAAGAAAGACATTAGGTTGGTACAGCATTCTACTTACACAGGCTGTCAGTACACCTGCAAACAGGATCAAGATTTGTAGTACCATTTTGTTCTTAATTTGCTAAAGCTTAGCCTGAACTAAACTTTAAAAAATTAGGGGATGTGATACCAACCAGCCCAAATAGGTTTTAAAGGAGGATTTCACTTTTTTCAGTGCTCCTACTCATATTGCCTTGGCCTAGGTAATCTAACTCAGTCATGTGAAAGGATTGAGCTAATCAGTTGTGCTTTGGGCAGCCCATGGGTGTGTGAGTGGCTTCAGTACTGAAATTTTTGAGTTATTTTCATCTGCTCACTTCTACTGGCTGTATGGCCATGTAAATTAGGTGAAAGTAATGTTGAAAAAATTTATAGCACTGTTCAAAATTTTTACTGAGAGATCTTAGCAAGTGAATAATATCTGATGCACTGCTTTTAAGGCAAGTTACAGGGTTGTGCCCTACTTAACCATGTCAAGAAGATACCAGCAGCATATTTGTCCTAAACCAACTTTTTTGTATTTGTCACCAAAAAGAATACCACTTCAGAACAAAACCATAATTGCAATTAAAATGTTGCTTGGGCTTTCATGTTTTCTGGTATCAGATTACTCTGTTATTGTATCCTGTACATTGTTGTTCAGTTCATTGTTTGGTTCATTATAAAACTGTGTTTGGAGATTACTGTATCTACTTCAGCAAATACCTCTTCAAGCATGTTTTAGTATACTTTGAGAAATGAATTTTTATATTTTTGTTTAAAAAGTATATTCAGTATTTCTGAAAAAAATGTTTGGACTCACTTGTGTTTTTATGCAATAGATACGGAAGTTGTGGAAAAGCAAGCCAAAGAAGAAACAGTAGTAGAAAATGCTACCCCAGATTATGCTGCTGGCCTTGTGTCTACACAGGTAAAACCAAGCTAAATCAATCAAACAAAACCAACCAGTCAAAAAAAAGGAAAAATAATATTGACATGTGCTATTCTAAACCACTTAAACACTGTAATGGTATTTTACTCACTTGTTGAAACATTTAAAAATTTTTACTTCTTTTTTTTAAAATTTTGTTATAATTTTTACCAAAGAAAAAGCAAACCTGTTGTAGAAGTCATTCAGTCAGGAAGAGGAAGAACCTGTCATGTGTAGGCCTTTTTCCTCCTATTTCAGATACAGCATATTAGAAACTCTGGTGCAGCTTTGTTTCCTCAGTCAGGATGTAGGTTCCACAAGAATGTTGTGTCCTGCCCTTGCTTTTGAGTGAGAAACTGTCTGTTGGGCATGTGTGACAAGCCAAGGCCAACATACAGGCAGAGTCAGGAGTGAAGGTCATTGCCTCTCTTCTGCAGAGTGCTAAGAGAATCTTTGTTTTAGCAAGTTCCACATTTTACAGAATGTCCCTGTTTAATACAATAGGGCTGCCTCAAACGATTCATCTGTTAGACTTATTCCCCCTGAAACTTCTTTCCTCTTTTACCCCCTTATGTTCAAAGGCTGTATGCAGTATCACGTATAATGAAGTACAAAATGAGCCTTTTTCTGCAGCCTCATCATCCTAGATGGCATCAGTCATGTTGGTGTTGACTGCCTGTTTCAGTGGGAATGAAGTTTTGCCTGTGCTCTTACTGCTGCCTTCTGCTTGCCTGTGCCCCAGAGGCCTTTGTGTTCTCCTGGGTGATAGCCTAGTAGGCCGTATGCCCATGGATGATCATGGTTCTCCTTGCTAGTGGTGAAGAGCATGCTTCCTCTGGCAGATCACTTAGTCCTAGAGTGCAATTCTTCATAAAGTGCCATCAGCAGAATTTCTGATGTTTGAAGTACAAAGTCAGTGTTGAACAGGTTGTTAGGTAGGACTCCTAACAGAGGAGTTTGCACTTAAGTTACCAAAAGGAATGCCTTAGTAAAACTAATGTTGAAGTTGTATTTAAAATGCAGAAACAGCCCATGAACACTTGCAGTGTGGCTTTAATACTTTCTTTTCTGTCCTGTAGAAACTTGGCTCGTTGAACAATGAGCCTGCACTACCTTCTACAAGTTATTTACCTGCTACCCCCAGTGTGGTGCCGTCTTCCTCCTATATCCCAAGCTCTGAAACACAGCCAGGTAACAGACACTTCTTTGCTCTTGGGATCTGATAACTGCAACTCTGTACAGTTTTACTGTCTGGCTGCTCTTTTATTTACAAACTGCTGTCCCTCAACTTCAGTGAAACTCCACCTTAGCAATATAAAATCCAGCCTTTAAGTTTGGGGAAACCAGAGATATCATTTAACCTAAGTAAAGAAAATAATTGTTGGCCCTAAATTTTTAGGGTGAAACAATTTCCTGATTTTTTTTTTTTTTCTTACACAGTAATAGAAAATCCAGCCTTTGTAATCCCTAAAGAGTAATCAGTATAGGTCTGAAGTATATATTCCATGCACACACATACTAGCACATACAAAACAGTTGCTTTCAGAAATCAGTTTTTATTTCTAGAGGCAAGTACATATTACCTTTTACACAGTTTGGGATTAAGCCATCCATTTTTCTTCTACCTTTGTATAACAAAGATAATACCTGACCTACTGATTATTTTGAAAAGTGCTGTTATTTTCAATTCTAGAAAAATGCCAATAGTAAAAAATAGTTTGTACAAGTCCTTTTTTCCTACAGTTTTATTTTAACCAGCTTGATTTTATTTTTCCTTCCCTGCTGTGTGTGAAGTCTTTAAAGGAATGCATCAGTTTGTGCTAACAGATGTGCATGGCTGGGATTCATTGCTAGATCTGCCCATTAACAGAGACCCAACATTTCAGTTTAATATATTATTTTTACTTGTGATCTGTGGCATTTTGGGCACTATAGAAAACTGCATGGATGCAGGACCCAGTCATTTCATTTGGCCTCAAAACAGTTCAGAATCTCTCTGAAGGTCTATGCACATCTTTCTCTGGCAGAAAATTGGCATCTCCAGAAGGAATGCAGCCAAGAGCACAGCAGTGTGTCAGCAGCTGTAGTACTATTTTCCAGAGTGCTGGCATTGTGTTCAGCAGCAGGAAGTGTCTAGTTTAAAATTCTCTATTCTGTACTCTTTCCTTTAGGAGTATTAAACTTTTCTTAGGGAACAGGAACATAAAACTGTTTTCTTGATATAAGATGCACACAGAAGATCCACAGATTTGGCCTCTTATAATCTGAGGCTGCATAATTAAGACATTACTTTATGAAGGTCAGTTATTTTGACAAGAGACAAAGCCAATAATGAAACTTGTAAAAGAATAAGGAGTTACTCATACTGTAAATGTTTATCTCTTCAATTGTTCCACATATACTGAAAAATAGCAGTATTGCTAAAACCATTGCTATGTCTGTGCCAAGGTGGAGAACCATAGAAATCTCATTTCCTAAAATCTTCCCTAAGGTGCATTAGTGTAGCTGTGATCCATATCTGCCTGTAGTCTTCTGTGAACCCAGGGTGAACAGGTCAGCTTAAAGCTCGTGAGGTTTGTGAAGGCTGCTTGAGCAGCTGTGCCTGTGTCCAAGAGCTGCAAAAGAAGGTAGTTAGATTGTCCACTGGGTAATTACCACTGGCTGGACAGATGGTAGCTTGTGTGGTCAAGCTGCTGTGATTTCATGAGTTGCCTCCAACTGCAGCCAGGTTTGGAATAGTATAACTTCCTTATTGCAGGTGAATGGATCAGCTTTGAGAAAGAACAGTTAAGCCTTGTGGGGTTTTAATTTCTAGCAGTTAGTGTTTAAATAATGAGTGATTTGTGAAGACTGTGTTTAATTATGACATCTGTTAAAGTATATTTATATTTTCAGTATCTTAATGGTACTTCCTTTGAAAGCTGCTGCTACATTAGGTAAAAACTGATAAAATAATTTTTGACTTGCTTGTTGTAATAGTACAGCAACAATCCTGGTAGGATCAGAGTACAGTTATTAGAGCTATATAAACTGAAAAGTAAGTATTGCAGTTTCAGTTTAATAAATTGGATATTGATTAAACATCAAATTTGATGCTAAATATAGCGTATCCATATGGAACAGCTAGTTACTCTGTCTAATGATTTCTAAAGATATTTGAGTGGAAAGAGCATTAGCTCTTAGCTTTTTCATATGGATATTAGATGGCATATTGAATCGTGGTGCTAAAATGGAATCATCAGAGATTTTAGCTTTCTTTGAGGGTCGCTGGTGATGCTAATCCCTATTTGTGGATAATAATGTTTTAACTATCCTGACTGGCTTTTGCAGCTGGCTCTGCACGAGAGGCCTTGCAGGCCAACAGACAGACAGAAGAGCCTGCAGCTCCAAATGCTACTACAACTCTTCCTGCACAGTTCAAACAAAGAACACCCATGTACAACAGCAACTCTAATCCCCCTGCAGCTACACCTACCTCACCCCTGACACCCACCACACCTCCTGCCATCTCCCCTGCGGCACAGGCACCACAAGTGGCCCCCCAAACTCAGCAACAGCCACCACCGAAGAAAAGCCTCTCTCTCACAGTAAGTAAAAGCAGATTCTTTTTGACTGATGGTTTTGATGTGGATTGGATCTCATTTATATGTTGGCATTTCTTGGCCTTTGGATTATGGAGTGGTTGATGCTGCTTTTTTTATAACCAAAGATTACAAAAATACTTTGTGGTTTAGCATTGCTGTCTTAATGTTATTCACAACATTTTTAGTTGTGCAGTGCTAATGCTGTTTTTTATGTAAAATAATGTATTGCTCATTATAAAGAATTCTGGGAGAAAGGTGTATTTCCAGCAGAAATTTCCCAGCCAATTACACATAAAATAAATTGCTTTAAATTGTCCTGACATAGCTGTAGTAGGAGAAAATATATAAATAGATTATTTTAAGGTAAAAGATTTTATTTCTGACCCACCTCACCCCCTCTTACACATTTTTCAAAGCCTGAGAGTGGGGATATATCTTGAAGCTTCCTATTCCTGGTGCATATGTACCTGGTTTGGTATGTATTATGTGCATGCTTGGAGTTCAGTTCAAGATGCAAATGATCAGAAGACTTTGCTAAGCACACCTGTAAGCCTGGCTTGCAAGATCTGAACTTTAGCAAGCTGGGTGACTTCTTTTCAGTACCTCTACTGCATTTATTAAAGGAAAAGAAATCCTCTGAAATTATTGTAAGCCTGAGTTTGTTGGATTGTATAGAAAGCATTGGATTATTTTCTTTTTTCCCTAATGTCATAAAAGACACAAAATTGATAACGTAAACATTAAGCCTCTCACATGTTTTTGTAACTGTTTGAAGGTGGGATTGCTTTTTTCAATGTCCAGAGTTCAATTGTCACTGCTGTGCATGTTGGGTGTAAGTTGTTGCAGAGGGGAAGCCTGGGGTTAGGATGCATTTTTTGTTAACTTTTTGTAGATCCTACAAACTTTTGCCTTATGCTTTTATGCTCATCTGTGGGTATTAATGTGCTCCCTGTTGGCAGAGTTTTTCTCAACTGAATTGACATTTATTGTTTGTTACAGAGGGAGCAAATGTATGCTGCACAGGAAATGTTCAAGACTGCAAACAAAGTTACAAGGCCAGAAAAGGCTCTTATACTTGGATTCATGGCAGGATCCAGAGGCATGTATTGATATTAATTGAGCTTGCTTCTGAATACACAAATCTGAAATACATCCCAACATTTCTAATTGTGCATATGAGTGTGCATTGCTTTAGCTTTGTCTGTATGTGTTGGAGTCTTTGCTTTACACTGGACTCTACATACATATAATTCATGAATTACAGTTCTAACTACCTGGAAATGGGTCTTTAGGGTTCATTTCCACTAAGTCAACTGGTCTGTCAGAAAAGCTGCTGACCACAATATAACTGAGCTCACTGTAGAATCAGGGCTTGGGGTTGAAGAGAAGCAAGGCAGCTGATAAGCTGTGAACAAAGTGGTTGGGTGCTGCTGGTCTGCCTAGAGGACCAGTGAATGTAAATTCTTTTGTGGCCAGTTGATGTACCAGTTGGCTAGTACAGAACCTATTTGCTAATTCCTTGCTTTAGAAACTGGTAACTGTTATCTCAGAGACTTTAGATAACAAATGGTGCTGTGAATCACAGGGAGATAAGCTGTCTCATAGCTGGATCCTGTTATATATTGGCCTTGATAGACCAAAGCTGTTTTACCTAGAAGATTATTGGATGTAAGATGAGAAGGGGCTTAAGAGTCCTTAAGTGAACTCCAGCATCTGCACTAGCTCTGGTTTCTAATTTGGCATTTGGGGGCTCTTACCACCTGAGTCCTGCAGCCTGAGTGTGGCTCATGCATTTGAAGTAATGCAATACACTGGTGACAATGACCAGAGCAGAGTTACTGGGGTGATCCCTGAGCTTTAAGTTTGGTGCATCTTGCATTAATTACAATGCTACTTCAAATTGCACTAGGAGGCTGTGCTTTAATATCTACACAGCTTTTTCTAACACAAGGTAAAATATTATTTTGGAAATGTGTGTGATATAGGTTCACGTATACGTATATAGTAAAGTAAATATTAATATGAATTCCTTTAGTCAGTACCTTCTGAAATTCTGAAGGTTGGATAAATAACTGCTAGCTGATACTCTTGAGCATCATTCCAGTACCTTGAAGTATGACATTTAAAATTTGTACTAGGCATGGACCTGAGTCTTGAACAAGCAGTTTCAGTGAAGCTTTTTGGGCTTCCTTAACAGCTAAAAATTCTAGAGGCGTTTAACTACAAAATGTCTCCCAAATAAAGTAACTCTGGTAGTTCAAGTTTAGCAATTCCATTTAAATATAATAATCTCTTCTGACTCTTGAGGTAGAGAAAAATGACACTGGCAGGCTTTACTCTCTTTTATTGTTCTTCCAATTATGTTAGCCTTGAGCTTTGTCTTTTGGGGTCTGGTTTTGTTGTTTTTAAAACTTGGTCTCGGGACTATGGAGGGAGGAAAATCTTAGTCTGTGGTTTGAGAGTTGTTGTTTGTGTTGTTGGGGCTTTTTTTAAGCATAAGAACCTCCTATCTTGGCTAATATACTGTTGAAATGTATAACGTGTTTCTCTCCTTGTTTCTGCAGAGAATCCTTGCCAAGAGCAAGGTGACATCATCCAAATTAAACTTAGTGAACACACAGAAGATTTACCAAAGGCAGATGGCACGGGCAGCACCACTATGTTGGTTGACACAGTCTTTGAAATGAACTATGCTACTGGTGAATGGACCAGATTCAAGAAGTACAAACCTATAACTAATGTTTCCTAAGAGATGCAGCAGCAGCAGACTGGACCAAATCAAGTTTAGAGTCAACCAGCTCATAGAGTATGTCAACTGTACAAAATGGCATTCATGTGTACATTTCTTATTACCCTCCAGAGTAGAAGCTGTGCTCTTCAACCAAACTGAGCTCAGTGAACACTGAAGTGTTTGATGGTGTCAAACTCAATTAATTTTTTTATTAATCTTGGGAGAGGGAAAGATGATCTTGGGGGAGGGGGTGAGACATTGTTGGTGTGTTTTTGTTCAGGATGCTGAAAAAGGAGATCACAGCTGAAAGGTTACAGATGGGAGCAGTTTACTGCAAAGTACCAGAAGAGAAGACTACTGCGCAGTCACTCACGGTTTACTGTTAACTGAGGGCACAGATCTTTATTATAAAAACATTTTCTTTGGCAACATAAGTTCTGTCGTAAGAATGGATGTTTGAAGAGCCACAGGTCGGTACTTGATAATTTTGTATTTCAGCTGCAGTATAACTATTGCAGATGGTAGATGGCAGTGTCTAAAGGTACCCACTGGATGTTTAGCTTATTTATGCTTGGGTCATAGGATGAAATTGAGCAGCTTTGTTTTAGCAGTGGGAACAAAGTGACACGGACCCCCTTATGCATCCAAAGGAGATCACTTGATTGTAGAAATCAGCCCCTTTTTATATCTTTTAATCTCAACCAGACATAACTGAAACCAAAAAGAACAGAAAGAAGGCACCCATTGGCTGGCTCAGCTGCAGTGCTGCTGTCCACGTGTCCTATCATCCAGTCAGCTTCCTGCTTGTACACTGTCCACGTGTTTCTCCAATCACACTTCCAACTGTCCCTCAGTGGCTCTCTCCTCACTCCTGACTGCCTCTCACCCCTCAGCTGATTTCCACCCCTCCAGCCTGCAGCTGTGCCTTTCCCATGGGACCTTCTGGGAAGCATAAGCCTTAACCACTTTAATAATCATTATCCCATATCCTACATCTCCCCCCTCTTTTTTATTAAGCAATGAAGACCTACTAGGAAAAACCTAAGCAATTCCTAAGACTTTAGTAAGAGTGACAATAATAATAATAATAACTATTACAACTTTTCAAAAACTGTAACCGAGGCTTCTCTGTTGTGAGTAGTAACACTTAACAGGAATGTAATTCAATTTTGAATGAAATTAACAAGGTGAAGCTCACAACTGCCTATATGCTTTGCTATCACCCAAGGTCTGCCAAGGAGCCTTCTTTCACAATGAGGACTTGGAAGGCCTTTCCCAGACAAGGCTTCCATGTTTACCTCAAAGGAAAGTGGTCTAGCTTTTGCAAAGCTAAATCAGTGAGTCATTTATTTGTACAGAACACCTGGCTTTGATAGCATACTTTTCCTTGCCAGTCAAGGCCATAGCTTGGCCAGAGCTAAGACCTAGACTGGGAAGGCTTTCCTGTCATAGCCTTAAAAGAAATCTTCAGTAATAACACACAGAACAATCGGTTTTGTCATAAATAACTTGTAAATAACTATAACTATGTACATGTATAAACAACTCCTTTGAAAGTACCATTTCTCTTTTTGTCACAAACAAACCAATTCAAAACTATCAAAGGAAACATCTCTTTGTTTCAGTGAAACCTGCAGCCTCCGGGCAGGTTTGCTCCTCTGAGGAGGCAAGGTCCTGGTGGCTAGCAGCAACAACGCTGGGGCCCGCTGTAAAGGTGGCATGGCAGCACCCATGCTGTGGCCCTGTGCCCCAGAAGAGTGCAGCCTGGCCCCTTGGCTGCTTCTGCTGCTGGTGGCCCCGTGCCCTGACTGCTGCTTCTGGGTGGATGTACGAGACAAGTGTTCTGGTGACAGCCACTGGGCTGGCTGTGCTGTTGTTTCTGGGCCACGCTTCGTGCATGACATTGCTGTACTTGGCAGACTGGCAGTCCCTGATGGCCACAGGCCCCCTGCAGCAAGGTGAGCAGTGTCAATGCGGCTGCCAGGCCTGCCCTGACCCCACCCAGCCGGGACCCCCTGGAAATGTGTCCAAGACCTGGAAGTGTGCAGCTCAAGCCACTGCCAGAGAGTTAGTATTATGAGCAGGAGTTCCCACATTTTGGCATGCTCTGACCATATGTGCTGTATCACAAGTACATGGGTTATGAACAGCGAGCAGTGCTTTTCTACAGTCTTTGTTCACATTTGTGATTGCAAGCTGCTGCAGCAGTGTAACTCTGGCCTCATTATTGCTGACTTGCCCGGAGAGTGTGGCATGCAGTCTGTCCAGGAACTGCACAAACAACACCGCTGGACCCTGTAAAATCTTAGCAAAAGAAATATCAGAATTGATAGCCATCCCTGGGAGTTGCTGCAGGGCTAGGTGAGTGATGGTATCACACAGATCACGCGGGTAACCTGCCTGCGCTGCAGGGACTGCAAGGGACCCTCTCTGCTCAGCTGTGCAATGGCAACTGGTGCATTTCTGCCTAGGCTGTACACAGCTCTCAGTAATCTGAGGCAGACTGCAAACTGCATCACTGTTGGAATCATTTTCCTTGTGCTTTTTCAGTCATGGGGTGTGAGGACGTACACAGTACTGAGAGACTCAAGATAGCTTAGGGACGATGGGAGGATACGCTGCTTTCTTTTACAAGCACCCTCAGGTCTTCATAGTCTAGCTCAGGTCTGAGGCAGACTGCAAACTGCATCACTGTTGGAATCATTTTCCTTGTGCTTTTTCAGTCATGGGGTGTGAGAACATACACAGTACTGAGAGACTCAAGGTAGCTTAGGGTGTGATGGGAGGGTACTTTGCTTTCTTTTACAAGCACCTGCAGGTCTTTAGCTCAGTCCGCTGTGTGTTGTTTTGGTGCATGTATTACTGGGCAGGCCCAAATGACCACCAAGTTGCCCTCCTTCATGGTGGCTTCCCAGCAGTGTTGCCAACGCTGGACTACTGCATTACTATCTTGGGCAGGAAGTGAGTCTGCCACCCTCTTGCGATGTGGGAATTCTGCTCCAAGGGGGCCAGCCACGCAGGGATTTTTATCAGGGTAAGGCAGTTCCGTGGGGCTTGGGTTGGTCTCGGGATAAGGGAATTCAGCAGGGTTTGGGTCCATCTTGGAGTCATATATGGGTTCTGGTGGCACTGAGGGTTTGAGGAAATTAACTTCTGAAGCCGCGTAATGGCCGACATTTGCATGACTTCCTTTAATGGCTGCCATGATTGTCCCCCATGTAGCAAGGTGCCTGCAAGCTTCAGCATTGCCGTCCCTAGTGATATCAAAAAGTCTCTGCCCTATTGCTTGCCAGGTTTCTGATCAGAGGGGCCCACTAAAGGGAAAATCTTTAGCTTGATTAGACACCCAGTCCAGCAGGGTGCTTAGTTGCACATCAGCCATTTTAATAGATTGCTGGTGTAGGAGCTGCCTGACCTAGCCTAAGCTTCTGCTTTGTTCCCCTGATATTCCACCTCCCATACTTTCTCCCACTGGTCTCCCCATCCTTCCGGTGAGGTGCACACACTTTAAATTCCCAAGTTCCTTCCTGAACTTTTCCTGGATCCTGCCTGGCTGGTTCCTTGACCTAGTGGGAGCCGCTACCGAAGCATGAGCCACCTTTATGGGTCCCTGTTTGGGCCAGCCAGCAGTGGGGAACAAAGCGACACGGACCCCCTTATGCATCCGAAGGAGATCACTTTATTGTAAAAACTGATCCCCTTTATACCTTTAATCTCAGCCTGACATAACTGAAACCAAACAGACCTAACAGAACAGAAAGAAGGCACCCATTGGCTGGCTCAGCTGCTGTGCTGCTGTCCACGTGTCCTATCACAATCTCACTCCCAGCTTTCCCCAGTGACTCTCCTCACTCCTGGCTGCCTCCCACCCCTCAGCCGCTCCCACCCCTCATCCTGCAGCCGTGCCTTTCCCATGGGGCCTTCTGGGAGCATAAGCCTTAACCACTTTAGCTACCCCATAGCCTACATCTTGTTAACTCTCCATATTGTCAGTGTACACGCCCAGCATGAGTTAATCTTTGTTTGGCGTTATTTGAGATGGACAGAAACTGAGAATCATAACTTTCTGAAGGAAAAAACTCATCAAAATTATAAAAGTAACTGTGGCTTGTCGCTGCCTGGAAGTGATAGTTTCTTGCCATAGGAGTCTTGGGGTAGAAGTTGGTCTATGGCTCTTGCATGACAAGCCCTTTGCACAGCATAACTTACCTGGAGGAAGGGAAACCACTACATCTCAAAACCAACTGGAGCTTAATTTAAAAATGGCCCTAGAAATGGTTGAGACACATCTGAGTAGAAGTAGTTTTGTTGTTTTGAGGCACTATTAATGTATGTTTGGTTGAGCAGTCAAAAGCTGCTTGATTGCCAAACCCTGACCCAAAAACTTTTTAATGACTGTAGCTGTTGTTCTTACCAGTGTAGTTTTATCAGTTTAATTGCTAATGTGACCACAATCATACTGGCATATAAATGTGCCTTGTACTTGTCCCTTGCTAGAAGAAGCACATTTTTATCTTTACAACTGTGTTGATACTACTGGTGTAATCTGGCTTTAATGCTACAAGCAAAGCTGGCATTTACTGAGAGGATTTATGTACATTAGTCAGGATTCCTTCTTGGGACACTTAGCTTCATCATTTGAAGGAGTCTTGAATTCAGTGTCTGCTTTCTGCCAGTACTTGTGTGTGGAGCTGTGCTTGGCTGGGAATGCTGCTTAGAAGGAAGAAATACAAAGATGAGTAGCAGAGTGGTGATGTGTTGAGGAGGTAGCTTGGGCTGACTTAAAGATTCATGTTGAAGTGGAACTTTTAGGACTAAATGAGGCTTTTTTTTTTTGTTCCTCTTTTCTGAAAAAAAAAGCAGACCAAATCCCATAGTACACTTGTATACTAATAAAGACATTTAGGTATTTGATTAGAATCTTTTTTTATTGGGGAATTTTTTATTGCATTTTAATCTTTGTTTTTCAATCAAACTACCCAACATGACAGGGCAACTATAAATAATATTTTAAAAAATGCCCTGTATTCTACAGTGTTTTAAGGTGTGACCAAAAGTGTAGATTTGTTAACTTTATTTAAGCAAATACACAGAATGTTCTGGCTCCTGTAACAGGCAGGGTATTTGATGGTAACTGCTGCTGTTACAGAGTGTTGTGCATGTTTTAGTGTGAAAGTTGCTCACATGTAACTGTCACATCAGGGCTGTCCTCCCCAGAATTACCCATTTCAGAAACAACCTAGATTGCAATTTTGATTCCAACTTTTCTTTTTAAACAGCTTGACAAGTGAGGGTGAGTAGTGAGTTTTAGTTTTTAGGAGTTTACTAGAATGTGTTATGGTTATAACTTATTTGGTTTTAGAGTGTTACACAGTGAGGGCTAATGGTAGGATATGAAAGTATTCATCTTTTAGAAGAAAGGTTTAAAGAAAAG